TTGTTTATTTGTTAAAAAAGATGCGATGAAGCCCGGTTTCATGTGAAAAAAGATGAATTCTCCCACTGCGCAGTGTGTTTTTAGCTGTACGCCGTCTCCTCTACCACCACCCCTTACTACGTGTGTTCCTATGGTAACAGAGAACATACTTGCTGGCACTTCAAAATAGTGTTTATCTTTTAGCTCTGTCAGTGATATGCTTTTGCAGCAGAACCCCTGCTGATGGATTTGGATCTGAAATTTCTACCATTAAACAATAAGTGTGTCAAAGCCACAGCTATGAAACTAATAAAACCAGTTCAAACGTCTCTCACAGAATGTACACTGTGAAGAAAATTCAATTGTGTCTTTGGGTGTGGGTGCAATCTATATTTACAATAAATTGTATCTATGTAATCTGGGACATATATATTTTTTAAGGTTTGTTAAGATTGAATTGGATTATATAGTTTTCTCTTGTCACTCAACTGTCCACAATCTGGGACAAACAGATCATTTTGTTGTTTGTTATCGTCAGTGACAGTCGCTTCACCAATGGGCCAATCTCCCCAAAAAGTGCCCCCATGCAGCTAGGAAAATCCAGGGCCCATCCTGCCTGTCCTCCCCCTTCCCCTCGTCACCCAGCCTCTGTTTCCAGCAGGTGATCAGACACACATGCAGCAGGTTTTGGGCCAGGGGTTACACTGTGTCTGTGGACTGTGTCTATGTGCTTAACATACTGTACGTACAGGAATGTGTGGTATGACTGCAACTAACAATTATTTCCATTAGCTGCTGATTATTTCTCAATCAGTCGATACAGTTTTTGACCTATAAGATGTTATGAGTGAAAACATAGTGAGAAAATAATTTCTCTATTCTCTAGAGGCCAAGTGAACATCTTCAAACACTTTACTATCATGTAAGACAAAGAAAAGCAGCACATCCCTTTATTTGGGATGTTGGAACCACCAAATGTTTGGTATTTTTCTAGTAATCTAATATTTATTTCAGCTCCAGTTTGTGCTGCTGTTGAGCAGAGTGGTGGGTGATGTAGAGGATTATAAGAAATTATTCTAGAATTTATTTCCTGTAATTAATGGTGTAATTGATTGGTATAACTGGTGTAACTGATTGTAATTGTATCCCTTCACAATTCCTTAAAGTTTCCTCTTATCAAGTGTGTAAACCACACTGGAAAATGCTATTTTTCCAGAATAGAGGTAATCTCACCTCACTACCAATTACCTGAGATATCACACAGAGGCACATCAGAAGAGAAATAAGTAAAGTAACTGTATTAATTTCCCATTCCAAAGACTGTGCTGACAAACATGGTCAAAAACAGAACATCTGGTACCAGTGCTACCATATTGTAGTAATGTCTAAACAGTTTATTTAGTGGCAGTATGGCGCCGGTCCAGTGCGCCCTAACAGAAAGTACTGAATCGAATTCGTGCCTCGTCTGAGTTTGTGCCGTGCAACGTTTTGTTCCTGTTTGCCTTAACCTCCCCTCTCACCTCTATGTCAGCTTTCTCAAATGCATTGTATGTTAGAACAAAGTCTAGATTTTCTGTCAGACCAGCAGGGGCTGCCTGGATGTTTCTGCCTGGACGCTTTCCAGGTGACCACCAGACTGTGACCAAGGCTCGGGCTTGGGAGTTGTGGCTGTGTGTGTGTGTGTGTGTGTGTGTGTGTGTGTGTGTGTGTGTGTGTGTGTGTGTGAGGGGATTGGGTCTGCCTGCTGAAGATGTAGTGGCGGGCTCCTCCGACCCCTCAGAGCTCCATCTGGACCGCGGGGGACTGTCATTTAGGAGTGCAGGGCCTGAGCGGAGGAGCAAATTGCTTTTTAATCGATCATATTCCCAGTAAAAGCGACTCCCAGCAGCCACTTGCCTACTTTCCATTCTATTTATGGAAGCTCTCTGCTCTGATTGTGTGTGTGTGTGTGTGTGTGTGTGTGTGTGTGTGAGGGAGGGAGGGAGAGAGAGACAGAAAAGGGAGACAGTAGAAAGGTGAGTTTTGTTGTCCAGTCAGTAAAAACAGAATCACGTTTTCCACTCTTCTCTTAGTCTAGCCTTGTGTGTGGATGAATTTTTGCTCATTAAAATCAGAGTACTACAAGGACCTTGTAATACTCATGTGGTTAGATATGAAGGCTGATGGCAAGCTGTTTTGATAGCAAGCTGTTTCTTTGTATCTGCAGAAGGAAGTGATTCCAGGGCAATGAAACATGAGCATCAGACACTGCTCTATTAACAACAAAAAGAAACCCCTCCCCACCATTCAATACCACAGAGCCACAGTCAAACATGTCATGTACTTTTATAGAAGCCCAACAATGCTGTAATGTGATCGTTTTCCCAGCTCCAGTTTCTTGCATCTATTTTGAGTTTGATGCCCAGTGTTGAGTCTCACACTAACAGGCGCTACTGTGCGTGCACGGGTAATAAATTATGACTCAGCCCAATGCCGCGACTGATTGTTGGATCCATTTTCTAAGATGCTGTTGTTTCTAACTAATCTGCCCCCCAGGGCTCTTGAAAAGGAAGTTTAAGTCTGTATTTGCTTGCTCTGTAGAACTGTTTTTTTTTGGTTTCTTTTCATAAAGCATTGAATCAACCTCTTTGTAAAAACAAAAAAAAGCTTCAGCTGTAATGGTGTCACATAAAGGATCCTGCAGAATGAGCAACACCAGTGAATGAGGCCGCTGCTTGCAAGCACTCCTGTCAGTTTTCCTTTGCAGGCTCCCAGGAATTGTAAATGTCGTCACATTCTCAACAAGACAGGTTTCTGCTATTTGCTGAAAATTTGTTTTGGGGTGTGCTTTTTTTTCTCTGCAGTGCGCCAGAAAAATGTACAACTATTTAATATGACTTTGTAGAAGTTGCAAAGACAGGACCTCAATTAGAGGAGAGCAAAGTTATTTGGAACTATCTGTTTTTATTTATTTATTTATTTTACTTTGGCTCTGAGAGTTCGACACACTGGAGGAAAATAACATGCAAATGGACAAAACAGAAGCAACGAAGAAAGCAGCTGCACTAATTTGACAACACATGCACTGAATTTAGAAAACAAAATGCTGCAAATGACACGGATGAAACACCTTCATCAGTTTAACAACACATACATGACATAACAAAATGCACTGTCAATACATACAACACAAATAAAGAGACACACACACAGTGCAAAAACAGACAACAGCCGAATATAGAAGTGTGCAGCAAAAAGAGACAGCACAAACAAATAAAGAAATGCACCTAAAATTCAAACACAACTAAATACAGTTCAATCAGGAGGGACTTAATTGAAAAGAGCTTAAAGAGCAATTCAGTTAATTTATTTGACATGGTGCACAATAGAAAAGTTGAAGAAATATGAGAAGAGTGTTTGGCGATTAGACCCTGTCATGAGTACAGCTGCAATGATCGATTAGTTGTAAACTTTTAAATGAATTCTCAGTTATTTTTATAATCGATTTTTGGGGGCTTTTTGCCTTTATTGGACAGGACAGCTGAAGATTGACAGGAAAGGGGGTAGAGAAAGGGAATGGACTTGAACCCATGGCCGCTGTAGCAAGGACCCAGCCTTGGTACATGGTGAGCCAGTTCTACTAAGTGACCTATAGGGTGCCCCAACATTTTTCACCATTTTACTGGCATTTTACAGACTGAAGAATTTAAAAAGTTAGTCACAGCCCTAATGTTGACTTCACAGGAATACCCCTGATGGAGTCTAGACACGGGTGGTGGTGAAGAGCAGTGGCTGAAGATCTGGATGGATGAGATGTGGACTCATGGGGCACTGGATGTGATCAGAACTGGAGGTGAAAGTTGAAAGGGGGCGGAGGAGGGTTGCATTGATCTGACAATAAAATGACAGCTGACAGCAGCAGAGAAACAGTAACTATACGATTGGATCACATGGGTAGTGGCCAAATCTGACTGGTTTAACTGAAAGAGTGAACAGTCAGCTGATTGAGTTGGAAGCGGGATATTTGGTTGTGTTTTCTCTAGTGCAGCCTGTTTTGCCATGCATTACATGTGTTGTCCAATGGTTGAAGATTGGGGAGGTTTGTTATCTTTATTAGCTTGTGTTTTGTTTTGTTGCAGTGTGACAAGCTCTCTGGGTTTTTAATGGGTGTCGGCAACATCTGGCGTCCCTGGATTCTGCCTGATTGTGACCTTTAACATGTCGGCTGTACTGCTCAGCTTACACCGTTAGGAGTGGGAGACAGAGTGAATTAAAGAGCTCAGAGTGAGGGGAGCCAGAGGAAGGATGGAGAGGTATGTCAGGTACTCGGCTGGAGGGCCTGTATTCTCTCTGTCAGTATCTTGTCACAGTCTCGGCCCCTGACCAAACAGGACATGAGCCTCGCCACCCTATGCTTCTGTCTGGCTCTGCTGCCGTCCTCATATACCATTCATAGTTTTTATTCCGGTAGTTCTCTGTTGTTTACCACTTCTCCTCTGAATGCTTGGTGTGTATTCTACCACAATGATCTTCAGCATCGTTCCTATACAGACTAGAGGCAGACTGATACAGTGTTGGTCTTAAATTATGAATCTGATAGCCGCCACTCAATACTGTCAACCTCTGATCTGCCAGAGCTTTAACCACAGCTTGTCACTATGGTGATGTTATTATTAAAGTAACATGTCTGGCCAGAGAAGGGTTTTTACTCAGCAGCATCAGTATGTCAGTCTGTAAAATGTGCAGTGGGACTAAGGCTCAATTGCATTGAAGTGATTGCTTTGATTCACTGCCGTTAAAATGAATCCTAAAAAGTTTTCACAGTTTTTCCCTGTTTCCAGTCTTTGTGCTAAGCTAAGTTAGCTGACTGCTGGCGATCGCTTCATGCTCAGCGTACAGGTGTGAGTGTGGTGTCAGCCTTCTCATCTCCCAGCAGGAAAGCGAATGAGTGTATTTCCCAAAAGTGTCAAAGTTGTCCTTTTCTTGCTTGTATTCACACGAGTTACACATAGGTCTAAAATGTCTCTTGCTCTGTTTTCCAGGTGCAGCAGCTCAAGTGTCGTGGCTCCGGTGTGATAAATGTCAACCTGTCCTGATATTTGTATGGGTCTTTCTCCTCAACCAAAGGTGAGTACATTCTCCTTTCACACAGGTGTGTGTGCTGTGGTTTACTGTTACTGGTGGAATTGTATAACAGGTGCTGCACTCATGACTTTGCAGTGGTCAGACCTCTTTTCTCAAATATGCTAAAAGTCCATAAAAAGCTGAAGTAAGAGTGCAAATGATGAATTACAGACATGACATGTGGTTTAATGGTTTGGGCTCATAAACCTTTAGGCTGAGGAAGAGATGACTTTGGTTTTATCACAGTAAGTCCAGCAGTGCAGTGCATTTATAGGTGAATATCAAAGCACTTTGAGATGTAGTTGATTTCTAACTTGAATCATCTGAGTAGCTGATACCTCTTTTGGCATGATGGATCCTAATCTTCCATTGAGAATAAAGTGAACAAGTTAGTTATTTGTGCTGGTAAGTCCCCATTTACAGCCATCAGTTTTAAATCAATACACAATCTCAGCTACTATATCCTGTTTTTGGGGATTTCTTCGAAAAATTCCAAGTAACTCCTGTATGTGACCCAGATCTTTTAAACAATTTTCTTGGGTTGCCCTTGCTTTCACTATCTTCCAAAATACTGATGTTCTTGTTTCAAAGAGGTAAAGTTTCTTGTCACCTGACAAACAATTCAGGCCTTGATGTTGGTTGCCAGGGAGCTTTAAACTGAAGTTGAACCTATTTGTGGAAGCTCTGTTTCCCCCCCACAAAAAACCAAACAAAAAGCAGCAAAACAGCCAGCCTGTTCTTTGGTCACTTTGAAAAGAGGACTCTCTTTAGCTACTGATTTACGAGAACGTCGAGTCACTAGATTAAGTTGTTGGCAGCTAAAAGCGGTCATTTGCGTAGTTTGGCTGAGGAAAAAGTGGATCCCAACTCCAGGTCATGTTTTGTTTCTGTCTTGGTCTTGTACTTTTTCGTTTAATGGGACTGAGCTACTGCGCTGGCTGTTCTTGGGGGAGCAGTACATCACCAGAGCTGCATCGGTGCACCTCATCCAGGAGTTACGGCCTGGCCTCGGATGAGATATCAGCTTTAAGACTTGGCATGAGGGGAAGATTTAAAGACTTGCAAAAAAAAAAAAGAAATTCACACAAAATGGTGAAGACAGCCAGGCTCTGACATGCAGTTATTGAAAGCACCGGGACAGGAGATTAACCCACCCACCCCCCTCGGGCTTTCCCCCGGTTGGACCCTTCTCCCCCAAAGGCTGCTAGGACAGAACCACTGAGTGATTCCTCACTATCATCTGCTGCTTCACTGCCTGTTAGCATTTTACAGTATACAGCTAAAAGCACAAATGTTGTTAGTTTGTTTTATGATTTCATATTTCATTATCTCACTCTCCTAAGCCCTAAAAATCCTTCCTTTATGATTCATCAAGGTGGAAATAAGTGGCCATCTGTGGACTGAATGTTTACAGCGGATTGGCTTTAAGAGAGGTCAAATCACGGACACACACTCAGTTGCGCCTTAAGCACCCTACAGTTCAACCAGGAGTCATTCAGTGGATGATGTTTGAGAACTTTTTGAACCACAGTCTGTCCAAATTATTTATGAAAGCAATTTATATTCCTTTCCGGAGAGAATTTGCACAAGCAAAGTAAGGTTAGGACTGTACAGCACAATTATTTGAATATTACAACATCCTATACAGTTTTCCTGTGAGTAATGTGAACTTTAGCAACATCTACTGTTTGACTTTCTGAAAGATCAAACAGAGCAATCACTTTTCCACGTCCCCTTTATGACTTCAGTTTAGCTAGATTACACTGTTTTTCAGTCACACAGCAGTGTGTGATCAAAGCTGAATGGAATCTTACGCAGGGAGATTTTTCCAGTTATATTTAATGTTCACATCAGCCTTCACTTCACCTGCAGAAAATGTCAGGGTACAAGAGGTTCAACTTGTAACCCTTACCAAGTAAATGCTAGTCAAAGAAGGTTAAGTGCAGTTATCCATCCACGAGCCCCGCCTCTCAAATCACAGTAGTTTTATCCTTGAATCTTCGGCTCTCCAAAATGGCATCGGTTTAATTAACTCTCTGGAGCCTCTCTAAGAAAGGCCATTTTAATAGAATGTGGGAATGCATATTAATCTACTGGCAGGGGACCAATTATGGTTGACTGTCATTGCGTACGTTGATTGTGTGGGCTAATATGACCTCTCCAAACCTATCCTCAGCGATTAAACTCTCATGTTATTAGGTTTCATGTAGTTAAACTTCAAAATATAGGAAAACAGCCTTTTACGTATCATGGATGAAGATAGTTTAGACATTTCAGTGCTTTTATATTGTAAATTCGGAGTAGATGTACACGCAACAGGGCAGCACAATTTAAAACTAGCATATTATCATCCAGGAGCTTGACAGTGTGTTATTTATTTAATCATGGCCTGTAAACAGTGTTTATAGCATTTATGGTAGCATGTAATACCACTTACTCTAAATCCAGTGTTTTTAGTATATCATTATCCATTGGAATGGAAAGAAAATTGCTAACGATTTATGAGTGCATTTAGAGTAGAAATTCACCACTATATTATCTTTTTGTGTTTGTAACATAATTGGGATCTCAATGGGTTAATAGAGCAGTATCACTTAGTTAATTAATTGATTTGTTTTCCAAACATTTGCTGGTTAAAGCTTCTCTAATGTTATTTGCTTTTCTTTGTCATATCTAATTGTAAACTAAATATTTCTGGGGTTTGGTGCTGTGAGTTGAATAAGATCATTTCAATACATCATATTGGGAAATTATTTTTTGTTATTTTGTTGTTTTTATTATTTGTAGGCTAAATAATGAATCCATTAATAGAGAAAATAATCAGCAAAATAATCGTTACTTATTCTTCTGACATTTTTGACATGCTACTAAAAACTCTATCAAGTGGATGTAGTGCATTTTATATGACATGAAATAGTGCACCCTGCAAACAAGCTAGCTAGCCGTGGTACATAATACAACTAATACTGCTGTATTAGTTGTATTATGTTTACTGTAACTTGGCCAGTTCGTGAGAGATAAGCCTGAGTCAATAAATAGCATCATGGTAAAAGAAACAGGTCCCATCATTCCTTCACCCACCCACTTCGCTTAACTAGTCAGTTTCAGTGTTGTCTGGCTGAGCTCAGTTCCATCAAGTTATATCTGTGGACATGTTGAGCAGAAAAACTGTGTCAGTGAGTGTGCCTGTGACTATTTAGACTTTCAGTTTCCACTCGGGTCACCCATGCTTGTTCTATTTTGGATAGAAGTGTTCACCAAATGGCATACATTATAAGTTGGCTCGGCTCTGTCCTGCTCTTCAGCTGAATGGAAATGAAAATTGTTCCGGAAAAGTTTTGAAGTTACTTTTCCTGACTGTGGTGTTGAATGTGCAGAGGAGGACTTTTAATAAGGCAGTCTCAGCCAGGAGTCACACAGACTGTCTCTAAGGGCCAACAGGCCCGTAGCCATGAACTCCCAGCTTTCCCACTGTTACACTACTTTATTCTCTCTCTCTCTCTCTCTCTCTCTCTCTCTCTCTCTCTCTCTCTCTCTCTCTCTCTCTCTCTCTCTCTTCCAGTGACACCTTTGAGAAAAGCTGGTGTTTTGTTTTAATTTGAGGGAAGAGGGACTGCTGGCCCACAGCCCAGTGATCCGCATTGACCTGTTTTCCAAATAATTAAGATAGAAGAGAATTCATTAAAGTTAATTATGCTTTTTTATAGTTCGGATACACACTCATTCAATTTTATTTTGGTCCCCTTCCTGCCTCTTTCACATTACATTTTTTTACATGATTAATAAGAGCAATTCAACAAGAGAATTGCTGCCCCATGTGACATTTAGGCCATGTCGCCTATGAAATGATTTCTTGTCATACAGTCCCCAAGCTTCAGGAAGTGTTCAAATATTGTTTATCACTCATTTTGATTCATTAGGTGTCAGAATGAGCCTGAGGCCACTGTTTATCATTTTATGCTCTGAGGGCATATTAATGGGCCAGGGAAAACGACTTTAATAAGTTAATGTAAACCAAGAGAGAAGAGCTTTTTTATGACTGGATCTGGCAGTGTGAATTGGTTGAGACAGAGGGTGAAATGAGTTTGTAGCCATGCAGTCAGCTCCAGTCCACAGTCGAATTTGCAATCTTTTAAGCAAATTAGAGGTTGTAATGATAAAGCCTTCAACTTCTTCCTGTCTGCATTTACTACAGTAATGAGTCTAACCACACTCGTAACATCCCATTCCCAACATTTCATCTGCGGCAAAGCACTCACAGTGAAAAAGTGGTTTTCCACCTCCTTAGAAGATTGCATGTTTGACTTGAGAAAAAAAATGAGAATGGAGCTGGAGGTATGGCTAGTGTCAAGCTGATATTTGCAGAGGCTCCAGATGTGAATGTGGTCAGGTTCAGTTGTAACTCTGAAGCAAAGTTCCTGTGTGTTTGCTGCATAGTCAACCTGCCACTATAAATATATTCTTGTTCTTGTCGCTGGTCACATTATTAAGACTTTAGAAACGTTTTGGAACCAACTGTTCCATTTCATTGGAGTTGTTTGTATAGCATGGAGGCATTATGTTTACAGCAGCTCTCAGTAATAATTATATCCTCCAGAGTAGTGGGGAGAGAATTAGCTCCATTGGGCCTTGCTTCATGGGGGATGATTGTGGGTGTTTTATTAAAGAGTCACAAATTATGGTGGCACCCCAGGAGGATTGCTTCTTCAGTTGTCTTCAGTTTGTGACATTGCCACTCTACTGTTACTGTGGTGCAGTGATAAGTGGCTGTGTTTTCCCTAAGCTTTTCTTCTGTAGTATTGGTATGGAGAGTTTGGATTCTTGGTCTGATGGCCGGAAAGGTCACACTCCACCCTGACTGTGTTTCTAATTTCTTTCCAGCACTAACAGTGATAATAATAAAACAGAGCATAGACAATAGATCATGGATAAGTACATTATTGTTTAATATAATATGGAAAAAAATTTACCTACTTCCTGCAAGAGCTAACTTTATTATATGA